CAGGTGCACCACCATTAGTGGAAATGCAGCCATTCCTAGTTGTGGAGGAAAAATTGCATTTCTGATAAATTCGTTGTTGGACATAGCACAGAACATTCTCACTACAGAATAATACTGTTTTCTTCCATTCACCTCAGCAAGCATTGCACAAGTCTAAGGACTGGGCATCATTCACACATTAAAAAAATATCCCCTTCCTCATGTGAACAAAAGGAATGATTGATGGGGCAGGCGGAGATGGAACTCAGGACAGCAGCATGCACTGTGCAGCAAATAAACTTACAGGCTGCAGTCAGCATTATGTTTTTCTTCTTAACGTCTCTCCTTCTTGCTTAGTGATAGCTTGTTTCCTTAAAAGTGAGGACATAGGCCACCCCATGAATGGAAAGAGCCCTAAAAACTCTGTTAATGAAAATGTTTCTTTACATACAACAGTGAAAGACACTTTGCTTGAAGTCTTAAATAGCTTGTGACATGAACCAGGCATTAACAATGAGACATGAAGAAAACTGAGACTGGAATCAAAGTGCAAAATACACCTTCACAGGTCTTTGCATCCTCCTGATGACTCAGACATGATTGTGGCCTCTGCCTCGTTGTACAGGAGGCAAGAAAGTACACTTGCTCCCCCAGCAGCTTTGATACCCGAGTCTTATGTCAGTTTGCTTTCCTGGAGCTTCTGCACACATGGAATCTGGAGGCAACCAGCAAACCAACTGTGCGAAATCCCTTGCAGACCTCCTTGATTTCTACATGTAGTTTTTGGTAGGGATTAAATGAAAGTGTACATCAAGCTGCTTTAATCCCCAGAATCTCTCCTGTGGCTTGTGGTGCATAGTAGTGAGGTAAACCCAGTGACAGGGTGCAGGGCTTTTGGTGGAACTGATTGGGAGGCAAGGGATGTTCACGGTATTGGGAGGCAGCATCACTGGAGAGAGGCTTTTGTCAGCTAGGGAAATGGGAGGGGGAGGAAGCCCAGGAAATGTAAAAAACTGCTACAAGGTGTGGAGTTTGCAGAACTTCAATTACAAGCAGTTTTGTTTTTTCTTTCCTTTTTTAATGCAATAGATGTGACTACAGAAAAAAAAAAAATTAACAACCCAAAAGAAGAGAGGAGACTGTAAAAGCACTCTCAATTATGTTATGGAAGTGAAGAAACAATCAGCAGACTGAACTGTGGATGCCAGATTGCTGTAATTTAGCCCTATTTGTTGTAGCAACCACTACAGAGTAGATGAGCTTGAAAACAATTAACTAAACATGGCACAGAAAAGAAAATACTAATGCCATATGTAGATTTGTCTGCACCCTTGTTTAGAGCTAGCTACAGAGCTCATTCAAACGTGGATTAAATGCTCAAAAATTCATTTTGTCTTCTGGGTCTAAGAAAACATATATTGTATTGCTCTGTTAAGGTCCTTGGCACAACGTAACTTTTCTTGCTGATTTCATTAGGCACGGATATATCACCTTGTAATAGTTGCATTGGATTAACACTTTTTTGTACATTCCTACATCTGCTTACATATAATCCTGTGTTTTTCAGTTACTTATACACATGTAATAGGATATAGAGGTTTCGTTGTTGTGTGTTTCTGCATATGCTACGCAGAAATGAAGAAACCATTTGAGTGAACTTCACAGTCATCCCAAATTAGAAAAAATAAATCTGCTCTCTAGCACAATATAATAATGCACTTCTATGCTGCGTATTTCATGGAAAAGGAATTTTAAATGTCATGGAATCAGAAGAAATATTAGGAGAGGAAATACGTATATTCTTCAGCATTAAATCTGGGCTTTCTGTTCACAGTTGTGTCAGATGAAGAGGCTTGCGGAAAAAGCTGGCTTATAATTAAAAATATTTTATTGTTTCTAAAACCAATAAAATATAGCTGCTTATTTTAATTGATTGTAGCAATACAACAGTAAAATCCAATAGAGTGTGATATAGTGTGCTATAAATTGAGGGTTGCAGTACTCTTCCATTAAATATTGATCTTTGAGAGAATTTCAATACAAAATTAAAATCCCTACGGGGTGCTTCAGCTACTTTGAAGCAATCCAGTTCTTGTCCCTCTTTGGAACTCAGCAGCTGCATCAAACATGAGAAACTTCTGAGCTTCCTTTGACTCAGCTTCTTCTTGTAGCATTGGCCTCTAGTTTGAAAGCAAATACATCTCTTGATGGTAAAAGCTATTATGTACAGACTGCTGTAGAGATAATAATTTGTCATTTCTTCCCTCCCCCCATGCCATGACCTTGGCCAAATTCAAACACCGTCTCACTCTTGGTATTTCTTAGTGCTTCAGTGCTTCAGTGTTTCTGAGTCAAGGTCAAGAAAAATCATATAGCTCCTCAGCTGATGTGAGTAATGTGTAATGTTTTCCATCTCTCCTGGGAAATAGCTTTCACCTTCCAATAGGCCTTTCATAACCTGTGGATAAGAGTTTCCCAACCATGCAATGTTTTCTGCCTGTACTTCAAAACTCCCTTGCAAGAGGGACATTAGCTTCCCATTCTATTTTCCATAGCCATACTGAGAACTTTTTCATATTGAGTTACCCACAGCTCTGGCATCTAACAGACTGACCAGCTATGCAGAAGAGTATATCATTTTCCTAGAGAGAGTATGGATATGTAACTATGGCCTTGATGCAATAGTTACAAATTACTCCTACCTAGAAATTAGCATATAGGGTTCTTTTGTCATTCTCCCTTTTATTCCTGAGGAACGGCTATAGGATATTTCCTCTCAAGCAAAATCAAGTTCAAAAGTAGAGGAAACAACAGAAAGACCAGTAGTTATCCCAGAAATGATGATATACTGAGGCTGTTTATCACTCTTCTATCATGGAGTCCTCTAATAGGGCAGTCCTGGGATGATTCAAAGCAGTGGGTCTTGAAGTTATCATCCCACTCTGAATTATTGCTTCCTGTTGTCTCCAGGCTCAGATAGATGTGGTTGCTTCAGTCGGATTGAGTCACATCTTTTTATTTTTTTCTTCATCACAAAACCTGAAGCTTATTTTTATTACCAGTGAAAGCAAGGTGTTTGGCATAATCACATCATCCCATATCCTGAAGGTCCCACATATGGTCCTGCAGGGACTATTCCTCTTGCCATAGAGCCTGTCAGTTTTGAAGTGTCACACTTGTTGTTTTACTAACAAAAATGTGCTATAGACAGGGAACTTGCTAGCAGCTTGGCAATTAAAATGTCTCAAAATAATTTTCATTTCAGGCAGTTCAGCCCTTGCAAATAGAAATTGTTTAGTTCAAAAATATTACTCTTCCAACATCACAGGCAATTCTCATCCACTACTGACCTTTCCCACCAATCCCATCCAGGTACACTGTAATTTATGTTCCTAGTAAAGAGTCCCATCATTCACTAACATTCAGATATTTAACTCAACCCCAGCTCCTCAGCTTGCATAAATCGATGTTGTTGCATTGATTTCCATTGAGCTATGCCAGCTGAATTTCTACCTTATTTCAAAAAGCAAAGAAATAATTGCTTAATACTGTACATTTTTGAGTCTGACCTTTTGAATTTGGATCTGGCTTCTGAAAAATAACATTTTCTACTTCAGAGATCAATCTTTCTTCTTACCACACTCATGCAACTGTTGCATGTCCTCACTGTGTTCATGACTGAATGCGAATGTTAATGCTTTCATCTTTGTTCTTTCTCCAACCACCATCAGCCATGGATTAGCTACTTTCCAGCCTTGCTGTCCCTTCAGATAGAGAGCTCCACCTGCAACCTATTGTTTATAAATGCTGTAGGTTTCTTCAGACCACCTCACTGTGAAAAAAGAAAGAACATAACAAATCTTTTTCTTGCTGTTAATAGTCTGTTTGTGCAAGCAGAAGCTCCATACAGAAGGAACTTTCATCCAGATAGGGCTCTTATAGATAAGTATACTGTTTACTATAACATGCAAATAACAATTCTGGATGAATGCTAAGTATTTATTCCTTGTTTTCACACTCTGAACTTTATTTTCACATTTTCCACAATTTTTCACTATTTGTCTTGCCACTTTTGCCCATTTTTCAGTTCTTACTCAGATTAAAATCTGCTGAAATAAGATCTGCATAGTTAGTCATGCTTCATATGGTTTAATAATTGAATGAACTCCCTTTTCCACAGTGCAAATACTTATGCTTTCTGGTACAGCAAAAAACTGATTACATCATTTAGTATTTTAATTATGTATAAAATCCAAGATAACTGCTGTGTCATTTAAAAGTGGCAGGTTTTATGCAATAGACAAAATTGTAAGTGGTACTGTATTTCTTTATTTTTGTGTTTCTTTCTAAGCAAACTAAAGTCAACTTGCAATCAATTTGGTTCAGCCAAGCTTTGTAGTGAGAATGAATAAAAAGGAAATTGGTCTCAGGAGGGAGGGAAAAGGAGAAACATGCATTTGCTAATAGCATGGTGAAAACTTTGCTTCCATATTCATTCTTAATAAACATGAAAAATGTTTGGCATATGATTGTAGGAAGAACTCATCCACAGCACATGCTCTTTATCATAGTAATCCTACAGAAACGTGTTGCCAATTGCAAACAATTCACAGCATGCACAACCAGGTTTGACATTGCCGAGAAATTCTTAAGTTGAATGAATGCGTGACTTTGCTTATTTAATAGCATGTTTGCCTCCTTGTGCCTCTTTAAGAGCCAGTGTGAACCCAGAAGAACTTTTTAATATCAAGTTGATATTTTGTTTCTACTTCCAGGTTTTATAACAATTGTTGCTTGTAATAGTCCAAGAAGCTTTCTTCCTACTTCCATTGCTTGCTTGCTGATTTATAACATCTTCTTGAGCAACTTAAATAGCGTAAAAATATATGTAAACTGCATATTTGGATTTCTGCTGTCATGCTTGCTTTTAATGGCTTTAAAATAGATTTGAGGACAGTGTCTATTTTAAACTGGTACTGAGAGTTTGCCTTATTTATGAATATTACATTTCTTCATTCTAGGCTCTTAAGGATGATGATGCTGAGACTGGGCTGACTGATGGGGAAGAGAAAGAAGAACCCAAGGAAGTGGAGAAACTGGGGAAAATCCAATATTCTTTGGATTATGACTTCCAGAACAATCAGGTTTGGAACAACCAACCTGTAACATTTCATTTCTGTGTGTGCAAGGGGAGAATGAAGTAATACATACAGTTACAGTAGGTATTTCTGAAATCCTTACTGCTTGCATGGAGTAAAGGGAGAAATCAAGACTGAAGATTCATGACAGAGGTACTATTAAATTGGTATTCAATGTACTCAGAGTTTATAGTACACCTTTAATCAAAATTGAAGACAAAAGTTTTATCCAATGTTTATTAATAACTTATATTAAAGCATCACCAATCAATGTCAACCCACATAATATTATGGAGTCTGCATGCAGACAGTAAAAGATAGCTTCAGTCTTCAGATATTTAAAACTTAAGCAAACAAAAGATGGGAGGAAAAAGAGAGGGACATAAAAGTTGATTCATTGTGGGTCTTTTAGCAAGTTGGTGAGATTGCCAAGGGTAGCTTTCTCTCACATCATCAAGTGCGCACTTGATGCAATCAGGAAAGTTGAACAAGAAGAATCTGCCCAGTCAAGGACTGATACTCCTTCAGTACCCTACTGTGAAGCTGGGAAGACCAAACTTTGGCATACTTACCCAAGTTATTAGGAGGAATAGACACCGTAATGTGATGTAGACCTAGAATTGACCTACTTGACAGGTCTGGCCATATCCTGAACTAGATCATTTTCCTCCTTGGCCTCTTGCTGTGGTTCGGATAACTTTCGTCAATTATACCAATTCACAGCCTCACATTAAAAACTCACTGTGCTCAACTTTGGACTGAAGTACACCCACACATCTGACTTCTTCACTTCTAGTGCACATCTTTCAGTGAATTTGAGAATACATATCCTGCATTTTATTTTTTGACAACTTCAGTCAAAACCACATCATGCTTC